TTTCAGGAGGATGTTTGTTTGAGAGCCTGTCTGTGTGGCAGGTGAGAAGGAAACCTTTGACTGTGTGTACAAGAGAAACAAAGGCATCCTGCTGCGACTACTTGCCAGGCAGTTTGTCTCTCCTCTCTTGCAGACAGGCCTGCTTGCTTCACTGGCATTTTCCATGCAGAGACTCATGGGCACAAGAATGCTCTGAAACAAAGAGGAAGGAGGCAGGGGTCTCCACCCTCCCCGTCCTCTTCCTGCAGATCTGTCCTCATTCCCCCATATGCCATTAACTGCACTTCCAAATCTGAATAAATAGGAGCTCTCCTGTCACAGTGTTTATTTTTTAATACTTGCTCTGCAGTTATCTACATCGGGATATTTTGTGGCTCTGCAGCATTTATTGAGCACTATATTAAACTGGTGTAAACTCAGACAAAATGCCAGGAGAATGATAAACTAGTGACATTTCTGAGTTTCTCAGTAGAAAATGTCTACAAAGGCTGCACTGGGCTGATTGTATTTCAGAAGGCTGATGTTGCATTGCTAATATCTCCGGTATACTAACTACACCCATATTCTTGGCTTTGACGATCCTTAGGTTTTATTCCAAACTGGCTTCTAAATGTAAACAACAACTTAATATCCTGGAAACAAAAGCAGGAGGCTGCAGCAAGCTTTATCTAGTCTTCATTAATGGAACTGGTCTGGCACAACCCGTGGACTGTCCCTTCATAGTTTCCCCCAGAAGGGATGCACACACATAGACTGGGACTGAGGTTTTTCATTTTAGCTGTTTGCAAATTAACATATTTAACATTTTTAATACCACTCCATGGCTTGGGGGATCAACATTAGCTTTATGCAAGAGGTGCCTCATTGTTGAGTGTCTACTAATTTTTTGTTTAATTTTCTACTGCTCTCTGCTTTGGAAAACACCAGATCTAGCTTATTGACTTATTAGCAGATGCTTGTGTGGAAGACCCTCTTTGATCTAGGACTTTGAGACTAGGACTTAACACCAGCTATTTACATTTAAACAGAATGTTCTACCCCCACTGCCCATTGGTCATATTGTTGTGTATCTTTTAAGATTCAATCCATTTTCTCTAAAGGCTTCCTGGACTTTCTTTCTCTCTCAGACGGCAAACTTCAAATAGCACTCTGAACATTAGAACATTAGTGTCATTGGAATACTCTCTTTTCTGTAGTTTTAAATCATTAAAGGCAGGGAATCTGTAGCCCTGGTTCTTCTCACACGATAGGGGCTTGGAACATTTCACTGAATAAGAAAATGAAGGTGTAAATAAGTTAGTTTTACTGTAGAGTTGATATTTGGGCCATTGATTATTTTTTTTGTCTATTGACTTAAGATAATAAATGATCTTGATAAATCATTTCTGTTAGTGGAATACTCATGATATACCAAGACATTTTTAAAACAAATATTAATCCTAATTTCTTAGGTAAGTATTAATATTCCCACATATTTCTTGAAACAAGGAAGGAGTCAGAGAAGGAAATCAGCTGCACTTTTTGTGTCTTTTCAGTGTACTAGAAATCTTATAGGTACTTTAAAGTGTGTATTCTAGGAAAACTGAGTTTAGCCTGTTTTAGGCTATGCAAAACATGTGCGTAGTTCTAGAAGTCTCAGAAGGGAGACCCACTGTGGCTTAAGGGGCATCCCGACTGGGAAGCCTACTTTCAACTTGAGTCATGTGTAGATGAGCCCCAGTCATCAAAGCTATCAAAGTAGAAGAAGGATGAGAAGGAATTCCAGGTAGAAATATCAGCACGAGCATATGCAAACTCCCCTTTCTTTCCATGAAATCCAGTTCAAGAAGAGAATTTGTTTTTCCAATTACACATAAAGGCAATATATGATTAGTGATAAAGGGATAAAGGGATACAAGATACAGCCACTAAAAAAGCAAGGTGCCCAACCACTTGTGCTAAATACTGGAAGTTAGAATTACAAATATGTTTGGATAGAGATGCTCCTAGGCAATCTTGAAATATTCTGTAAGTAAAACCTTCAAAGGTTCATTTTGGATTAAATCCCAAGTTTATGCCCTTTTGCTTTGAAGGTGACTTTATGAAGAAGAAACACAATAGTTAATCTTAAAACACACAGAAAACTACCAAAGTCTGTAGTCCCAACTAAAATGTAGCTGTGTATGTGGGCTATGGTAATCGTATCAGTTGATAAACTGCAGTGATATGATGCTTTAAGGTGTCTACTCAAATACAGGATCATCAAAATCAGCACCCGTGTGCCCATTTCACATTGTTTGGCTTTAATTCTCTGGAATTCACCAAGGCCACATAGTAAAAGCAGTGATGATCCTGTCATTTGTGACTGCTGGAGGTACTACTTGAGCCATTACAGAAAAAAATTCTTGGAAACATTGCAGTTTGACTTAAGTATTCAAACATTATTTTTAGAATTGTTTTACTAAAAATGGGGAAAAAACTTATGGTAAAAGTTTGGTCAGCTACATTAGATTTTGGAAAACAAAGGACTCTATTTTGATTTTGTATCTTTTACTTTAGTTGATGGGTTGAGGGGATTGTTACCTGAAACAACAACTCCTACCCTTAGAGATAATGCAGAAATCTTGACAAACTCTGTGACTGTTGATCTGGAGATAGGAACACTTGAAAAGATGCATCTAGATTCAGGAAATTATTTTGCTACCCTTTGACACTGACTATGAGCCAGGAAGACAGGCTTGCTAAGTTGTCAGTGTGGTGCTTCTGGGATGCCAGGCTTCTCCTGGAATGGAGAAAATGTGGCAGACCGTCCAAGGAAGAAACTCAGAGCGGCAAGCAAGAGGGGCAGATGAGCAACAGGTCACTACCCATTAATATTTAGAAGAAAAACAGTCCAAAACTGAGCTATGGAGTTTGAGGGTTGGTGAGCACCATGCATTCTTTTTTTTTTATGCTCATGGCTTGTGGCTTTGTGAGAAAAGGTCCTCCGTGAATCTGGGCCAGGGTTCAGTGTGGGGAATAGGAGGGCCACTGTCTGTGGACTGGCAATTGCTGCAGCGTTTATCTGAAATTATGGCAAAAGGGCCATCTTCTCCTTATTCAGGCAAATTCCAATGGTGTGAACTCTCCAAGCTCATGTCACATGTCTCTTTGTGGGGAATTATTAAGCCTTCCTAGGAAGTGTTTGCTTCATGGGAGAAGAAGAAAACTGAATGCAATGTTTGGAGAGTAGACTCTGAATTTCAGGCTCAGTATCAATTAGAGAAACTCACTGATAATAGGGCCTCAAGGAGACTTTTTGTTTTTCCCCTGAAGATGAAGAGGGACTGAGAATATGAATTCCAAAAAGAAGAGTTCTGGGAATGCCCCTAGAACACTGATTACTTCTTATTTCAAAGAATTAACAAGAATTTTACCGTTCCTTTCTCCCTCTGCTTTTCATTTTCTCTCCTCACTCCTCTCTTGTCCTTCTTTTATTCATTTTTTAAATTTAATCTTTCCTTGGCTCCTTCCTTCTATCATTCCATGTTTGACTATCACATGTCAAAGCCTATGGATATAAAATATTTACAACAAATCTCCTTGGTAGCTCTGTTTAGGGGGGAGTGTGTGTGTGTGTGTGTGTGTGTGTGTGTTTCTGTGCATGTGCATGTGCATAACAGTTGCTTTAACACTTAGAAAAATACACAAAAATGATTATTTATAATAACCTGTGATAAGTATCTTATAGGGAGTTGTAACTCAGCACTAGAGTGCTTGCCTCACACATGTGAGGCACTGGGTTCAATTCTCAGCACTGCATATAAATAAATAAAATAAAGGTCCACCAACAACTAAAAATATATATATTTTAAAAAATAAATATGTGTTGATAGGAGGAAATGCTTTTCCTGTTGTACCTGGGACATATTTATATAAGTGACTTTCCCATCATGTTCAGGGGTCCTGAACATGACTAGAGAAGCTGGAGAAAATAATTTCAAGCTAGAGACAGAGCTTATAGAAGCTCCTGAGGGGTGGGAAAGGAACATAGCACTTTCAGGGAGTGGCACGTTCTTTGAGTATGGCAGATGAGGCAGCAAAAGTGACATGGGGTCTGTCATTTAGGGTCTTGGGTACCACAGGGCATCCTAAAGGGGATGTGTACTTTTAAGATGTGTCTTTTTTAGTATGAATTGAATGGCTGTACTGAGTGGCAGAGGGCAGGCAGAGTGACCATTTGAAGACATTTGACTATTTTTCATGTAGAAAAAGAATGAACTGAAGTTCTGCAAATTATGGTTTTTTAAGGTAAAAATAGCCCCAACATTAATTAATCTTGCTGTATAAAAATTCTAGAGATAGAGTATATCATTTATGTAATAGAATAATTATTTTCTATTTAGGATGACTCATTATAAGATTATACCAAATAATATGTGCCTCCAAGGCATTTTAGGCTTTTATTTTACTTACACATGTGGCTTCTGGCACAAATCTTGAGAGTGAAACACATCTGCACATTTTGGTCACACTGGTTCAACAATGCAGGGAATGGTCACTCTGCTGTAGTTGCCACTTCTTTGGTTGGGTCATGTGATTTGTTCATAGTTCATATGGCAGTAGTAGGTATATCTGCAAATTTCAAATAAAAAAATTAATTAGATGAGTTTGCTATGTAAATCATGGTTCAAGTCACCCAGCAACATGCCTGGCATCTACCTCATAAGTCTTGAAAGTTTAATTTGCTGCTAGCAGGGTTACTGTGGGGAGTATGTGCTAGCCATTTGTGGGAATTATTTTCAAGTCCAAGCTAACAACACCCAGTATCCTTGCCTGAGTTCAGCCTGGCCTTCATCAAACAAAGGTTTATTATAATTTTTGTTTGAAGTGGAAATTTTCCTGTCAGACTATATACATAAATAGAATAGGCACAGCCAAGGATTGGGGAGCCTGTGGACATGGATAGACTGTGGGATGCACCAAGGTACATAGGAAGTTGTTAATGCAGATGCATCTTTTTATGATTCTCCATGTTTTAGGTCTGTGATGGGGTCGAACAAGGAACCAGACCTGGTGCATCTCGAGGCCAGAACTGTGGATGGTCGTAAGTAAATGAACTTTGTCCCAAAGTCCATAGTCATGGTAGCTCTGTCATGAACTAATCTGTCACAAACCAAGTCTGTGTAATCACTGTCACAATAATACAAGTCATTTGGAGTTATGGATTGTTCCTGTTATCAGTAAATCAGGATTGTCTCAATAGTCTTAAATTTGTATATTAACATGCATGTTTAAAATAGATAGATATATTAATACTTATGTATGTATAAATACATATTATCCAGATTTAATTATACCTGGATAGTGGCATTACTAGCACTACCCTCGCATCCATTCAAGGTATCTTTCAAGGTAAAGATTCCAAAACTGAGTTCCAAAGTATTCAGTGGTTTTGCTGCTGCAGTTTTATTTTTTATTTTTTGGCTCATTATCTTTTGAAATACCATCCAGGCAATGCCTCCCTGACTTGTTTAGAGCTTCATGAAACACCTGGAAAAATAAGAAGAAATAATCATGCTCTGTGTCCCCATCATGAACAGCAGAGGGGAAGTCACCTGAGTCAGTCACTCACCCTTTGGTTCTTCCTCTCAACCCTAGGCATTTGGGCCACAGTGAAGGACTACACTTTGTGGAAGTTGTGGCTTTAGATACATGGTATAGAGGGAGGTGGGTTGCAGATCCACAATTCAAACTACATGTGAATGTCTCCAAGATCACTCGTTAATTGTGTCACCTTGGAAAAACCAGTTAAACCTTTATACCTTGGTTTCTTTGTCAGTTAAATACATTGATAATAATGATTCTTTTAGTAGCTAACATTGATTTAGAAATTGTCCTCTACCAGGAATTATGCTAAGCACATCATGTACTTTATCAAGACAACTTTGTAGGTTCTATTCCTGTTTAGTAGATGGGGAAACCAAAGCCTAGGAAACTAAGTTAATGATTTAGCTAAGGCATATGGTAAATTCATAGAGGACAGTAGTGTCTATTTCACAGTCACTATTCAGGTGAGAATTACAGAAACCGAAGCATATGAAGGAGTGCCCAGAGTGGTCAGCACTGAGCCAGAGTGATGATGGAGTTTCCAAGACATTTTCTCTTTCTAAACTGTTCCTCACAATTCTCAAGAATGCTCATTACTTCTGATTGCCTTATTACTTCTATGTACCTGTCCTTGGTTCTCCTCAACACAGAGGCAGAGAAAAATCTACACTTAAAGAGCTTGGAGCAAAAAAAAAAAAGAAAGAAAGATAGAAAAAGGCAGGTCACCTGTGCAACTCAACTCCCCAGGAGCCACCAAACCTCCAAGACACCCATTTGAGATTTTTCACGGTTTTCATTTCTAGAGGTTTTTGTTTCCCCTTTGGAGATATGAATACATTCCTTGGCACAGTTAGTTGGTGTGCAGAACAGGGTCTTAGACTGACTATGACCTTCTTCCTATGTACCCAGGCAGGCCTGTGCTTTGTAATGAGCTCAGCAGTTCAGAGCATCTTCCCATCTCTGCAGTGGACTCTCTCAGGGACTGACCCTGGAGCACATGATACTATCTTGGAGTCCAAGGTCCAGATGTAAACACAAGATAAAGGTCAATATTTTCTGATGTGAAAGTAAAGGCATAAACAGTTTAAAGCTCTCTATTAAATTCCCATTGCTCTGATGATAAGGAGTCAAGTCCTAACTAACCTGGTGCCTAATTTCTGTTCTGCCTTTCCCTCCCTCCTGGCCTGAAGGACTTCGGTCTTGACTTTAGTTCTTGATGTATAGGGGGTTCTGTCCTGCCACAGGGCTCTCATTCTTGACATTTCCTCTGTCTGGAAACCTTCTTCCATTGCCTCTCCCCTACCAAGTAAATGTAATGAATCACTGTAGATGAGTTACCCTCAGGTTAAGCACCTATGTATTAGTGAAGACTTTCTAAAACTCCCATTCTAAACCAATTCCTTTTTTTGTTTGCTTTTGTCCAAAATGTATTCTTTTTTGGTTTTATTTCTGATTGAAATAGTATATTCCATTGATGTGATTATTCCGTCATAACTTTTACTCCTCACTGGTCTATGAGTCCCATGAAAGCAGAGAACCTATACCTTTGTTCAGTTTTTTTCTACAGCATACACCACAGTGTTTCCATGTAGAAGGAGCTCACCAACTTCATGCTGAAAGAATGGATGAATAGTTGATCAGTTGTCAGTTTTACCACCTAGCTAACTCAGGTTGCCTGAAAATTTTGGAGCACTGTCTCTCAAACTTTACCAAGCATACAACCCATCTAGGGATCTTGTTAGGATGTGAATTCTGATTCGGTAGGGGCCCAAGATTCTGCATTCCTAACAGGCTCCCTGATGATCCCATCCTTCTGATCTGTGAAACCTGCTTTGAGGAGCAAAGTTCCATACCAGGAAACTAATGAAAGAGCTTTAGGGTCTGTCTCCCATGACTGCACCTTTGTTTAGAAGACTCTGGATGGAATTGGTAGCATCCCCAATTGCTTTTATTTTCAGGCTTTAGGGGATAATGCTGCTTTCTGGCTTCTGGCATTGAATGCACATAAGCCCACATCCAAAAACAAGTCCTCTCGGCTCTCTCTGATCTGCACATTTTCTCATACCTAATATTCCTCTGCTCCCTGAAGGCATGGTGGTTGATCACACCAAAATGCCATCTCAGGCTCAGCCTTCCCAAGGCGTGAAATACATCAGTAATAACTTTATTTATTTTATTTTACTTTTTTTTTTTGGTATTTGTGCAAAGGCAGCATCTTCAGAAACTATCCAAGGGTGAAAATTCAATAAAGGGATTTAATTTGAAAAGTTATCCCTGTCAAAACAAAACAGAAAGAAAAAAATTACCTACCAATTGAAATAAAGGATCTAAGCATAATACCTGACCTGTCTCAGCATGAAAAAAAATGAGATTGTCTTAGTATCATATCTCTTTTTCCTCCTTCAGTCTCTCTCCTCTTCTCCCCTCCCCCTTATCTACTATCTCCAAGACTGTTATTACCAGGGCTCAAGGTAAAAGAAGCAGAGAGGAAGAGAAGGGAAGGCAGAACACAGAGAGGGCAGAGTAGCAGATGTTGCTGCTGCTGGCAGGATTTGAGAGTGAGTTTATCAAAACCAGTCTGGTCTATTCCTCCAAGAAGTCCAGTGGCTCTGTTCTCTCCTCTTATTTCCTGATTGAAACAATTCCTTGTTTTTTCACCCCTTTGTTATTATTCTGTACAAAGTTGAAGTATATGGAACCATTGTTTATATTATAGGTTGTACATGTTTTATAATATATTCTAAAACCATACGTATATATGGGTGTGTATATATGTATACACACCCATATATATTTTTAACTTTGAATTTTTAAATTTTAATGAGTTCAAGAATTTTGTAGCTTGACACAGGAAAAATGCCTCACTTGCTAGTTTGGCTCATCTCTATAAGATGGGTTGCAAATCCTTTTCTGGGTTTGTTACTCAAATTTTAAACATGGTCTCATTTTCTATATTCCTGTCTTACAATTGATAATTAATTTGCCAGAGTCCCTGTGTTTGAAAGGAGGTGAGCTCTGAAAAGCTTTTTGCTCCATGAGAATCTATGACTAGCACATGTTTCTTACCAACTATGTTCTGAACTATGGATGTCTTGTACTTTACATCTGTGACAAAGATGTTTCTCTTTCTTGTGTTAGTCACAGTCTTGGGAGGTAAGCTGAAAAGGGCAAGTTCAATTACTATCAATCAGAGGAAGTATTATAGGAAAACCTTAAACATATTTATCAGGGACATTTTTTTTTTTATTGGCTCCCACTTTAAACTGAGGACAAATTGACAAGTCCTCATTCAGGATGCAAAGACTTTTTTTGAACTTTAATATTTCTGTGTGGATGTGGGTATGCGTGTGAGGTTGTGCATGTCATTTGTACCCAGTACAACACTTAAAAAGAAATCCTACATTCTATTGACTTATCCCACATAACTGTATTTGTGTATAATGTGTAATATATGTTGTTAGAAAATGTTGACTGAACTACTAGATTGCAAACTTTATAAAAAGATAGATCTTATTTAATCTTTGTTCAACATATAAAACACAGCTCCAAACTTAAAACATTTAAGATTTGTTGAATTCATGAAAATATTTGAGTATCACTGTGTAGACATGTCTTCTTTATGTAAATGAAAATTATACTGAGATTTCATCTCACTCTAGTCAGAATGGCAATTATTAAGAATACAAGTAACAATAAATATTGGCAAGGATATGGAGAAAAGCATACACTCATACATTGTTGGTCAGACTGAAAATTGGTACAATCATTTTGGAAAGCAGTGTGGAGATTCCTCAAAAATCTCAGAATGGAGCCACCACATAACCTAGCTATCCCCCTCCTCGGTATATATTCAAAGGATTTAAAATCAGCATACTACATCGAAGCAGACACATCACTATTTATAGCAGCACAATTCACAATGGCTAAGCTAGGAATCGAACCTAGGTGCCCTTCAACTGATGCATGGATAAAGAAAATGTTACACAATAGATTATTAGTCAGCTATAAAAAAGAATGACCTTATGACATTTGCCAGTAAATGGATGGAACTGGGGACTATCATGCTAAGTGAAATAAGCCAGTCTCAAAAAGTCAAAGGTCAAATGTTTTCTTTGAATGCAGAAGCTAATTCAAAATAAGGGGGAGGTGATTAAAAAGAAATATAAGAAAGATCAGTGGAGTAGACAAAGGGGGATGAAGAAAAGGGAGGAGAGACGGGATAGGGAAAGATAGTGGAAGGACTCTGGCCTAAAATTCTTTTTATCCATCATGAACATCCAACAAGACACTAATTAAAATAAAAACTCTAAGTAAATAGCAGGAAGTTCAGTAGAGTAGAGGAAAAGGAACAGGAGGTGGTAGGAATGGAAGATGAGAGCAGGCACTGGGGACTGAATTTGAACAAATTATATTTCATGCTTTTATAATTATGTCAAAATGAATCACATATAAATGAAAAGAATCAATAAAATATAAAAGAGATGAGCACATGATGAG